AAAAAAAAAAAAAAGAAAAGAAAAAAATGCCATTTACATACAGATTGCCCTCCGTTGCCTTCTTCCACCCAATTTCAAGGAGACACTACTCAATTTCCCTGGTACAAGACAATCCCTCCCCCTTTAGGTATTAGTCTGCTTTTCTTGGCCATTTCATGCCTTTTTTTGTTTTGTTTTGTTTTTGAGACGGAGTCTCACTCTGTCACCCAGGCTGGAGTGCAGTGGCGTGATCTCAGTTCACTGCAATCTCCGCCTCCTGAATTCAAGCAATTCTGCCTCAGCCTCCTGAGTAGCTGGGACTACAGGTGCCTGCTGCCAAGCCCGGCCAATTTTTTGTATTTTTAGTAGAGATGGAGTTTCACCATGTTAGCCAGAATGGTCTCAATCTCCTGACCTCATGATCTGCCCTCCTCGGCCTCCCAAAGTGCTGGGATTACAGGTGTGAGCCGCTGCGCCCAGCCGTTTTTTTTTAAAAGACTTGCAAAGTCCATAAAAAATAATCGTTATTACCAGTTGAAGATTGTGACTGAAATTGTGGTTCCTTCTGATCAGGCCCAGCTAATAGCAGGCCAGCAATAGCAATTGGTCAATTATACTTTTTCTAAGGGAGTGACAAAATGGGTGCTAACAAAGTTGTGACGGGTGAGGTGAAGCTATTTAAGTAAAAATTGTAATTAAAACATTACAAGATCAAGGGTGTTTTGTTCTCATAAAAGGGAATAATAATATTAAGCATAAAACATAGGAGAGTGCCGAACTAAGGTTTAAATGATGTGATGAGCAGAAACCCTGAGTGCCTGTTAAGTTTCTCTGCCAAGTATGCCTGCCTGCAATACAAATAAATGTATGTGTTTGTTTTTAGTGGAAATTGCAACACTAACAAGAGAGAATGGAAAGACGGTAATCAGAGTTCTCAAACAAAAAGAAGTGGAACAATTGATCAAAAAACATGAGGAAGAAGAAGCTAAAGCTGAGCGTGAGAAGAAAGAAAAAGAACAGAAAGAAAAGGATAAATAGACACAATCAGAGATTCGGTTACCATTTGGGGCACCGTTTCAGTGTGAAAGCTGCCCTACTCTTCCACACTAAGAAGGCTTTGACTTTTTTTAAACTGGTACAGTGGGAAAATAGGACATTACATACTGAATTGGGTCCTTGTCATTTCTGTTCAATTGAATACTTTATTGTAATGATGAGGGTTACTTTCCGTGGACATCTTAACCTTCCACACACATCCCCTTTTTTTGGAATAAAATTTGGAAAATGGAAATGAAGGAATAAATTCTCTGTAGCAGTAATTGTTAAATATATAAAACTGACAGGGCGAGTATCTTCTTTTCATGCTTTATGCACCTTTCACAAAGATGGGCACATTCGTCAGGCTGGCCAGGTTATTCATCTCTCTCCAGGGATTGGTTCGAGAAGGAACACGTGGGCTGAGCAAA